TGATGATGGTGATGGTGGTGATGATGATGATGACGGTGGTGATGATGATGGTGATGGTGGTGATGATGATGATGGTGATGATGATGGTGGTGATGATGATGATGATGGTGGTGATGATGATGGTGGTGGTGATGATGGTGATGATGGTGGTGATGATGGTGGTGGTGGTGGTAATGGAGATGTTGCATGTTGATGTTGCACGATGATGTTGATTATATAAAGATGATTTGATGGTGATGATGATGGTGATGATGATGGTACATGATGCATATGGTGATGATAATGATGTCAATAAAGATGATATAGCAATAGGAAGATGTTGCTTGTTGATGTATGATAGTGATAATGTTGGTGAGGATGAGGATGATGATGATGATGATGGAGTTAATGATGGAATTGCTTGATGAACAATATATATGGCGATGACATGATATTAATCGAGTCAAAGTAATCCTCTCTCTTGTTACATCCAAGGTAGTTACATTTACATTGAGACTTCATATCCACGAGTACAAGGAGAAATGGCTCGTATAATCAGCCCTGAAGTTAACAATATAAAATGTGTGACCTTCTACTATCACATGAAAGGTGAAACTATCTGTGAACTGAACGTTTACATAGATGATGGAAATGATAGGAAAATGGTTTGGACACAAAAGGGTGAGGCATCGAAAGTCTGGCAGAAAGCAGTGATTCCTGTTAAAGGATATTCATCATTTAAGGCAAGTAACATTTGGTTTGTGCTGATATTGAGCAGGGATTGGCCGAATGCCAGACCACCCCTACCTAGAGTATTGAGCGTTTTATTTTTCTTCCCTAATGCTTGAATATGTACAGTATTCAATGCAACTAGGCTACCTCTTATTAAACCCTGAAACAACCTCTGGGCTGATCAAAGTCAGGGCATGGCGAACTCACAGATCAAACCCTGAAACAACCTCTGGGCTGATCAAAGTCAGGGCATGGCGAACTCACAGATCAAACCCTGAAACAACCTCTAGGCTGATCAAAGTCAGGGCTTGGCTATAACTCACAGATCAAACCCTGAAACAACCTCTGGGCTGATCNGATCAAACCCTGAAACAACCTCTGGGCTGATCAAAGTAAGGGCATAGCTAACTCACAGATCAAACCCTGAAACAACCTCTGGGCTGATCAAAGTAGGGGCATGGGCAACTCACAGATCAAACCCTGAAACAACCTCTAGGCTGATCAAAGTCAGGGCATGGCGAACTCACAGATCAAACCCTGAAACAACCTCTGGGCTGATCAAGTCAGGGCATGGGCAACTCACAGATCAAACCCTGAAACAACCTCTGTGCTGATCAAGTCAGGGCATGGSYAACTCACAGATCAAACCCTGAAACAACCTCAAGGCTGATCTAGGTCAGGGCATGGCTAACTCACAGATCAAACCCTGAAACAACCTCTGTGCTGATCTAAGTCAGGGCATGGCTAACTGTCAAATTGAACCCTTAAACAACCTCTGTGCTGATCAAAATCAAGGCATGGCTAACTCACAGATCAAACCCTGAAACAACCTCATGTAGGGCTGGTCAAAGTCAGGGCACAGCTTACCCACAACAATGGAAAATAGAAAAGTGTGATTACCAGCTGAGCATTCAAGGTTTATGGATGGAATGTTCCTTAATGAAGGAAATGTTTTAAACAGTTTTTTCCCTGTGGTTATACAGATAATGTTTGAGGCTGTTGTTGGCACACAACACACAGGAGATATTGCAATTGATGATGTGGCAGCCCTGACTACGAGCTGCGATGCCCTTGTTCCTTCTGGTGCTAAGCCAATACCCCCTGACCTGTCGAAAATCAAATCAAGTAAGTGTACTAAGTTAAGACTAATATTTTTTCAAATATGAGAAAACTTTATTTATGCATAGTTCCAATCTCTATTTACAATGATGCAATATAAAATAAATAGTAACAAGCAAAAAAATCTGCTCCGGTCTCAAATCCAATGAATTATGTAAAATAATTAAATTATTGGTATAAAGTTATACACAATAAAATTGGAAATTTCAAAATAATAAAAAATAATTGTAAAAAGACAAATATAAAAAATATACTTAATACTAATAATATATAATAATAGGAATTTATCTTAAAACTCTAATTAATGTCGGCAATGAAATCATTCAAACTAAAATCATCATTAATATAGACTATTAGCATATACCAACTTGTGTACTTCCTAAGAACGCGTGCGCTCATTGGTTAATTGGAAGTGAATATCGTACGATATTCACCTCATAATCTCGGAATATTGAGTCCGCAACAAAATGGCATCTGCCGGCAATCGTTTTGCTACAATTTCCGATGAGGAAATTGAAAAAAATGAAAGTAAATGTCATTCCTATCAATACTAAAAAGACAACGAAGTATGGCCTAAAAGTTTTGCTAAAAGTTTTGCGTGAATTTGTTACGCAAACTAAAAGTTTCTGTTTGTTTGTTTTTATTGAATTATTGTATATAAAAATAAGTTACTCTGTACACAAGTTGGTACATGCTAAAACAATTATTCGCCTTCAGTAATTGGTTAAGCAATGACCTCTCGAGCTGTGATTGGTCGAAAGAATATCAATTCCTTGACGGTAATGGGTCTGAGCATTTTCATTGGCTTAGCAATGACCTTATGCTGTGATTGGTTCAAAGGATATCGTCATTCAAAATCTGATTCATCGAAAGACGTAATAGTACGCGCAGACGCAAACACACAAATTAATGCATTTACATATTACCACTAAGAAATATTTTGAGGTATTTCATGGTATAAATTTGGCGAATCAATTTTTTCATTTTATTCTCTTTTAGCCATTCGTCTTGTGGGAAATCTTTCTTCAGCAGGACGAATCGAAGTCCTTCACAACGGAAGATGGGGCACAATCTGTGGAAGACACTTCCATCTTCCTGCCGCTAAAGTAGTTTGCAGACAGCTAGGATTCTTGGATGTTGAGAGTATCGTACCATGTTGTTCAATCCATAAACCAGGAAAGGGAATTATCTGGTTGGATAATCTTCATTGTGAAGGCAGAGAAGCCGCCATTACTTTGTGTCCACACCGGGGTTGGGGAGTCTCATCATGTGTTCATAGGCAGGATGTCGGTGTGATTTGCAAAACCAAAGACACTTTAAAAATGGGTAAGATTTTAGAATTTCAGTAATCTAATTTAATCTGATCCATTGTTCCCTGTCGGGTATTATTTTCGCTCGGATTTTGGGGGGGGGGGGGGGGGGGGGGGAATGACGAAAATTTTTTTTCCAAAGATTTGTTCATGCTTACGAAAACCGCTAAAATCAATATTGTTCTCAATAAAGAGACTATAAGAGACTAGGGATGACGTTCATGGTCTCTTTTTTTCCTTTTCAACGAATTTACCTCAACCTAAAACAATTAGAACTTTGGAACTTTAGGCAACAAATTGTGAAGAAAAAGAAGCAAGAAAAATATTTATAGAACTGCTTTTCGTTCTGGACCCGGAAGTCGTCTTTCCCTACGATTGACTTTTAAAAGCTTTATTGGGTAGGGAACAAGCGCACATTTTGGCGCCGAAAATTATTTTGTCTCGCACCATGGCGACTAGCCAAAATGTTTGGTGTGTGTTTTTTGACTTTCGCAAGTAACGAAAGGCAAAAATCACGTCTAGGAATCGGTTGTGCTTGCTTATAGTCTGAGCTACATAATTCAAAAAATTACACCTATTTCTGTATATACTCGGCCAAGCCAACTATAGCTGTGATTGCAGACGTCTCAAGAAAATTGTTGATATAAGTTTTGAATGATTTCATGTTGTTTTTCTTTTATCAGTGCGACTCGCTGGTTCTGAGCACGACTACAAGGGTCGAGTAGAAGTCCAGATTGGTGGTATATGGGGGACGATTATGGATATCGGCTGGGACATCTACGATTCAACTGTCGTCTGCAAACAACTCGGTTTTAGTGGCGCCTCAGCAGTGTATAGTGCAGCACATTACGGGGCTGGTAAAGGTCCGATATGGCTTTCATCTGCCAAGTGTATTGGTAATGAGACTTCGTTTTCTCAGTGTAATGTTACTCAGCATCAGATCCAGTGGAATGGTCCGTGGTGGTGGAATCCTCATCGGCGCGATGCTGGTGTCGAGTGTTACGGTAAGTACATGATATCTGGCGCACTCTCAATTCACCCTCAAATTTTATCGATGCCCTGAAACAACCTCTGGACTGATCTAAGTCACGGCACGGCTAACTCACAAATAGATCTCTTAAAAAACCTATGGCCTGATCAAAATCAGGGCATGATTTGCTCATGGATTCACAGAGGGAGAAGAGAGAGGGTGCGTTCTGGTATTTATGCCTCGGCCCGCGAATTTCACAACTCGTAAATGTTTTGGCTCTTGTTAACAAAAAGATTCGAAGCACTTAATATTACCATGTATGTTATATTAATTAAGATCAAGGAGGTTTGGTAAACGGAAGCATTATTGGCGCGCTATGGAATAAACAACCAACGAAGCATTAATTTCAGCAAAGAGCAAACGTACGTCAAAAAAACTCTACGTTATTGCAAAAATCTATACGTCATAACGTTATTAAAAATCTCTTCATGCAAAGCACACGTCATTAAGCTAGTTGATTTTATTTTAAGAGCTTCGCCTGGCTGGAGGGAAATCAACGAGTGAAGGCATTGTCGAGATCTTTCTTGGTACTTGGGGTACCATTTGTAATGAAAGGTTTGACATGAACGCAGCTAAAGTCGTCTGCAGGCAAATGGGGTACCGTGAGGTAGTATCGATAAAACTTGGATACCCTGCAAACCATACGAATGGGACAGCTCCTATCATAACAAGATTACAATGTAATGGTGGCGAAGCGGCTCTCGGTCTGTGTCAATATGTTCCTCTTTTTGGTAACATACACAGTTGTACACACGCCAAAGACGCCATGGTGAAATGTGACGTACCTCGTAAGTATTCGCTGTAAACATTTTCTAGATAACGAGCGTGGTGCATGTGGACTATCTTGGGTACGAGCATCTTTCGTTCACAGTGCCTTATATTGTGTTGTTTGTACCAAAGCTATACCATGATGAATCTGCATGGGCGGACGTGGTGCATTGTGGTCTAGCTTGGGTACAAACATTTATTGCTCATCATAGTTTATATAATGTATTTAGCAGGCAAGCTAGACCACAATGCGTCCTGTTTATGGAACTCATTTACGTGCTCAAATATGTGGTCTAGCTCGAGTACCAACATTTTTGTTCACCACATTCACTGGTTTCTTACATTCCATTAAAGTGCCTATGACACCTAATTTAAAATTTTCAGCATTGATTCTAAATGAATGTGAAAAGTTGAATAGTTTTGTATATTTAATGATGCCACCTTTGACGTCACATCATTATACACTCGATTGAAGAATCGTTGTCGGGTTCAGAAACATAGAACATAGAAGCTGAGACCAAAATGGCATATGGAAAATGACATAATTATATTATAATTCATTCATTTGCGCCATCCATGCAGTCGGTTTAGAATGCCAAACGCGTATCAAAAACAGTGGACGATGCCACGGGTCGGTCACAGCATGCATCTAATTAAACGTACTTCCCATATGCCATTTCGGTCTCAGCTTCTATGTTCTATGTTTCTGAACCCGACAACAATTCTTCAATTGAGTGTATACATAATCTCTCTAAGATGCACCACTCAAACCATATAAAAATATTTTACTATTCAACTTTTTACTTCATTTAGAATCAATGCTAAATATTTAGGTGTCATAAGCACTTTAAGCATTTTAATTAGACTCAGGCCCCGTCCACACTATACCGGGTAAATTTGAAGGCTAAAAATTCACCGCAGGCTCTCAATGTCAGCTTCGATGCACATGCTCAGATGTGCAATGAAGCGTTTTTGACGCCTCTAATCGGACTATTGTGGACGCGAAGCATTTTATTCGTTTTTATGTGTGGACGGAAAACTTTTTTTTCGGTTTCGGTGTGAAAGTTTCGGATTCAAATTTATCCGGCATAGTGTGGACGGGGCCTCATTTGATTCAACTTTGAGGAGCACTTTGCATAAACACAATAGCTTGTTGTCCTTCACTGCATATGGTACATTGTGGTCTAACTGTGGTACAAACATGTTGTCTTCACTTTTTTGGCTACACAACACCATTGCGACACACCAGTTTTCATTCAGTGTTTCTTGCCAGACTTACTTAGTTTATTTTCAATTTGATATTTTTCAGTGCCAACAGCCATTCCACCAGGTAAGCGCTGACACTTTCATTCTCGACATTTCAACTCATTATATTAGTTCCAGTTATTGATATTACAATGCATGGTTCAGCACTCAAGAAGGCTCTAGCTTTGGAATTTTTAGAAAAATATGCTGCTGTTCTTAGGTGAAGCTTATATTGTTTTATTTATATTTCCTCAAAATTTCCATCATTATCGTCCAATATCACGACAAGCAAACCATTGCTGAGGAGGGAAGGGAGGGGGGTTGTTATGATGTTAGTTTATTTGACTCACATTAATCTATGAATTATGATTGATTATTTATTTTCATTTTTGTGTTTTACAGGACCGAATCCAGGTATGTGATTTATTCTGAACTGTCGAACTTGGTTCCATATTTCTAATTATCCTGGCCCCAAGCACTGAGTATTATTTAATGAAAATGGATCATTGGATTGCTAATCAATACAATTAGTTACTTAAGGATGGTGGGTACAGTTCGCGACCCATTTTTATTCAAATGAAGCTGTGTCAGTTATTTAGAGTGCCCAAGGGGCTATCTAAAAACGTGAAAAAATTTGGGGGTCCCCACGCATCCAAGCGAGATAATTGTCATTAAGACCCGATGACGTGAGCGCATTTTGAAGCACTTCAAAAAATCGCATTTCCCTTGTGTTTGGCTTAAGTACATCGAAATTTTGTCTAAAATAATCTTACACATAAATATTTTTCATATTAATAAAAAAGAATTCAAGTTGCAAAGATGAAAGTACATTTTTTGTCTGCTTTTGCGCAAAAGTAGGTGAAATTTCAATTTTGGACAAAAACACAAAATCAAAAATGAAACAACCCAAAACAATTGTTATTTTTGAAATAGCACATTCAAAATTATCTTAAGTGTTTACAAAACATACCACGCAAATAAAAAACTGGGGTCGCCATGCATTTTTTGGAGTTTTGTTTTTCTCTCTTGATCTTTTTCGTCTAGTTTTTGTCGCTTCATCGGTACTCTACCATCTAGTCGTCGTTTTCTCCTTTTCACAACTTTCACTTTCATTTCCACAGTACTATTAAACTATCCCATATAGACACACACGAAGAAATTGCTATTTAAAAAAATGATGACAACAAGGATCACGCATTTATTTCGTTTTATTGTTGTTGATATTTTTGAAAACATTGGAGTTCCTGTGGATTACGTAATGTGCGCAGTAAAAGTGCGCGCTGACAACTGTACCCACCATCCTTAATATCCATTGCTATTGATAGTCGATAGTTTAACGATATCGTTACAAGAGAAACTCAAGGTTTCTAATTCTATCGTTGACTTCTATTGATCATCTACATTTATCCTATTAATATTGACAATTAACGGTAATACTATCATTTTTGATTACTAACAAATTTGGAACTTAAGTATCAATTATTTATCAACTTTAATTATTTAAATA